GCAACTTACCTGAATAGATTTTTCTTTGGAGACTGAAGACCTCTCTTTCAGCGTTCAGCCTAGATTCAGCAACGTAGTGTCAGTGGTACTTCCTCACTGTCTCCTTCTTAGCCTAGTTTTTTCACAGCTTTTGTCTTGAAGGGACTACCTGAGGCAGTGAAGAAGTTTGGTCTTTGCTGAAACTGCCAATATGATGATAACTAGCCAGGTTTCTAGATGCATGTCCTTAAGCAGGGATTAAAAAAAAAGTGTTTTGTGTCTACTACATCATGATTGCAGATGTCAAAAAGCTTTCTTCATCACGTGCTGAAATCATATCCCTGAAGGCTTCTTGTATCTCTACTGCAAAGTGTAAGTTATTGCCATCTCATTTAAATTTAAATCCAACTTATGCCTATTTGACTTTTTCCTTCCTTTGCTTGCTTTATTCATCTTTGCATATCTCTGTAATAGCTCTGACTCTCTAGAGAATCTACCCGTTGGATATAGGGGCTGATGGGACTGGAGCATCTTGTTGCTGAAGATGGAGATTTAGCTCTTGTGTTCTCTTCTGGACATAGATCAGAGTATGCAGCCTTGAACAAAAGGACGTTCCAAGTCAGAGCTACAGTCGGAGACCATAGGAGTGAGTCATCCCTGGGCATCTTGTTTGATGCTTGGGAAGTCTCTTAAGGCTTGCCTGCATGGGTGAATGCAGGCAAACTTGCACTCTAAGCTAATCAGGTGCAAGATGAACCTGGTCTGTCAGTGCTGTGCCTGAGCTGTGCTAACTTCCCCTACAGCTGCAAGACTTGTGTAGTGGAGCTGGCTTGTGGAGCGTGGGACTGCTGGGCTGCACGTGTGTGCATAGACATGCCTGAAGACTACCTGTGCCACAGCTGTTCCATGTGTAAAAAGGCAATACTAGAGCTTATGCCTGTCCCAGAAATGTTTGTGGCAAGCCATTGAGGAACGAGTTACTAGGTGAGGAATTCTCACAACCACTCTGAAAATACAACAGGGCCTTTGTTACTACTTTGATTGCCAAAAAAATCTTGTTAGTTGTGTTCTCCTCACTTGAGGAGTTTCTAGAAAAATTTTTCCAGCCTCAAGTTCATGTGATTGGAGACTGCTTTAGTTTTTTTGCTTCTTTAAAATAAAGGGAGGTAAAACCAAACAATTCTTCTTGAACAACATAGGCTAGAAAAACTTCTCTCTGAAGAAAAAGTCCTCTACCTTTTTTTTTCCTTTTTTTTTTCCCCCCTCTTATAAGAATTGATTTGAGAAAGGCAGAACTTCAGAAAATAGCCCTTTCAGAGTTGTCTGGCATTGGAAAGATTTTTAAAACCTCAGCTCTAGATGAAGAGACCAGTTGAACTGCTGTAGCGCGAACATTGCTCACAGAAGGATGTGGAGGCTGATTTGTAGAACTCAAAAGCTTTCTAGGAAATAGCTGGATGCTCTAAACCAAAACACTTCAGATTTTAAGATGGGCTTCACTTATAGTCAACGAGGCAGTAGAAACAGTCTACTGGGATCAGTACAGGAGGTCACTGGGTATGCCAGAGATTGGCGCTTTTTCTTCCCCACCACTCCCCTAGCCACCTTCCCCCCCCCGCCCCCATCCTGGGATTCTGGGAAGCAAGGAACTGTAGCTGTCTGTCCTACTTCAGCTTGAGAGGGCTAAAAATATTTCAGCAATGAGTAAACTGGAAGTAGTTGCTGTAGACTTAAAAGCCTGAGGCTTAAGAATGGAGCTGGAGAGAGGGTAGGGTTGAGACTTTGTAAGGTGGATGGACCCCACCAGACAGGTCGCTGCTGCTGGAATAGGTGTACCCCTCTCCCACCAGCCTATTCCTTCTCCCTTCATGCCAGCTCTTGTGCTTAACTGACCTGTTTCTGGGTCAGTTTGCTGAGCCCTCGGAGTGTGTAAGAGGTTTGGGAGAGCTGCAGAGCTGGTGCAGATGGAGGCAGTGGACTCTGCGGGGTGAGAGGGGAACGTGTCTTTGGCAGCAGTTGAGCATTAGGTTGGCTGTCCCTTCTCATGAAACCTCACCTGTAAGAAAGAGCTCTTTGTTCCCTGCCTAACGTCCTTCTCCCTGGAAATCTGTTCCTGGTCTCTGTAAGCATGTCACCACTGCATGCTAGCAGTCCCTCTTCTCAAAACCAACTCTATCTCCACTGAGGTTAGTAGCTTGTAAGAGCCATAAATGAACTCTTAATTCTGTGACTTACATTCAATGATGAAATTAACTATTTTATTCTATAAAATATATAGTATTTGCAGTATGACATGTAAATGTGGCTGTTGAAATCTTAACCTTTGCATTTCTGATTTTTTTTTTTTGTTGGGTTTTTTTTGTTTCCTCCCTCATGCACAACCTTAATACTTTACTAACAAACTACATAAAATGCATTGCTGAGATACATTCAAATGCATATTTCTTGGACATAAAATTACAGTTTAGTGAAATGCCAAGTACCACTTCTCTCGGGTAACTAAGATCTTGTAAATCCAATATTTGTGCTCCTGAACACATGAAGAAATATTTGATGTGAGCATTTAGGCACATTACTTTTTCTGTGGAATGCAAATCTGTAGGACTTGTCCTATATGTTTTTTTCACCCCTTTAACGTTTTTTTTTAAAGCAGATTATGAAAATATTTGTCATTACCTATGTATTTGCCTAGAGACTGTATTGCCATAGTACACATGTGCCCTTGTTACACCTGAATGATTTCAGTATTTTTGTGGCAGTGTTGTATATTGTCTGGCTAATTTGTACAGGATAAAGAGATCATCTTGCTACTTTTAGCAAAAAAATTCAATGGAACGGAAGAGTAAGATCTAATATTAAGGCTTTTTTCTTTCTTAAGAACATATTCTGCAGTAAATGTACCAGCACGTTATGGAGAATTATCATACCTAGAGCTATTCTGCATGTGTCTTAAACAAATGAACATTTTCTTTTTTTCCTGTTTGAAGCTTCATGTTTACTTACTTAATAAGCAAAGCAGGGCTTTGGACTCTTAGACTATGGGGGCTGTAAAAATACTTTGCTTAATGTAGAGTGATTGTGTGAATGAACAAAGTTTTAATCTTCCATTACAGGAAGTTTTAACAGTCACAATGTTGACCAAATCTTAGAAGAATTTCAGGGATATCTCGGCTGCCATTCAAACTCATGTTAACTATTGCCCTTCCCACTCATAATCACATAACTGACCTTTGGACAATCAGGATTTGCTTGCATGCTTTCTTACTGTTAATTTTACATGTCATGTTTTAAGCTGTATTTTAAATAAATTTGACAGCTGCAAACTAGAGATGGTGGCATCATGCGCGCAACAAGGGCTCTGCAGTCTGTAAAACGCAATTTGGGCATCTCTTTTATGGTACACTTGCACCACGTATGTGCTAAGCAGGGGAGCGAGGGCAATCCTTCCTAGTTTTCCAGCAGGACTGATACTAACCCTGTGGCAAGAGTTGAGGGTAGGTGCACGGCCATCAGTTGTGTGCCCCAAGGCTGTTTAGGGTACTCATTCCTTGTGCCAGCAGTGTGCTAGCTGGAAGGAGAAGAGGGTAAAATCTGTTTTGTGGGGAAGGGGCTGCTGAAAGCAAAGTGAATTAAGAGGGCTGTAAAAAATTGATAAAGATAGGACTGTCTGTTTTTATATTCTGCCACATAACATGGGTTTAAATGAATTTCCCTATAATTTGTCTTCAAATACCGACATTTAACTCTTAGGCTGTATAAATGAACTGGCTTTTTCTAGAGTAAAATTCATGCCCTGCGTCCAGGCTAATATGTTCACCTACTATAAACATTACTGCCTATGGTTACAACCGGAATAAAAAATTCCTTTTATATACATCATAGCTGGCAGATACTCCTGAGACCACCACAAATCACTTCAGCCTTTTGGTGCTCTCTGACGAAATGAACTGAAATGTAAAGCAGCTCAGGCTTCAGGCATGCTGGCTCTGGAAAGCAGTTAGCTTGCTTAGACCATTGTTTGTACCTTCCTGTATTTCCAGGTGCTGAGCAAAGATATTCTAGGAGCTCTCCTGATTGATTTAAACATTGGGGTTTAATAACCTCCCATTCATTCCTAAAATGTTTTAGTTGCTCTCTGTGTAGCCTTTCATTTAAAGGAAAGAAAACCAGACAAACAACAAAAAAACCCCACCCTGGCAACCCCCCCCAAGAAGTTTTTGTTCCCTACCTTAATTGCAGTGACTTGTTATTAAAGTATTTATTCAGAGTAATCTCTTTGGACAGCGAGCCCTTATCCCATCTGCATGCATAATTAAAAGTGAGGGGGGAGAGAGGGGAGCATAAATGGTTTACCATGCTACACGAGCAAGGGAAGGAATTACACAATGACAGGTGAACAGCAGTTTTATCTCCTGTTGGAATTTCAGTGCTGCAAGCAAGGCAGGACACTGTTGCTTGCTAATATCCTTGCAAACACCACAGTTGCTGCTTCTCCAGATTACTGTCCAAAAATCATTGCTGGTCTCTGAAAGGCCTGCAGTGCTGCATCTGTGGTTGTGGGTTTTGGAGCCGTTGGTGCTCAGGCAAAGAGATTGGATTTGGGTATGTGGGCTTGTGAATCCATTTCTGTGCTTAAAAATTGACTATTTACTTACTTGGCTGGCTATTTATTTATTTATAAATAAGCACTGGTAGTGTCTGGCTTTGCTGAATACAAATCACAGAGTTGTAATTGTTCCAGCTGAAACAATGTCATCACCTGCCGCCTGCTGCTGTCCCTTTCCCAATGATAAAAGAATTTGGTGCAATCCTTCTTTTTGCGCTGAGTAGAAAGAAGGTTGTACTTGAACATTCATCTCTAGGCAGATTTATCATCATTAGGCAGTACTCAAACACACAGTATCCGTTTTTTAAATTGAACTGTTATGGATCTAAATCAGATTTACGCAGAGTAAGTTGGTATATATTTGACTCTTAACTATTTGGTAAGAGTATTTTTTCCTTAACTTCTGATGTCTCACCTCTGCAGCAGCAGTACAGAGAATGCCAGGAACTTTTGAGCCTTTATCAGAAGTACCTTGCTGAGCAGCAGGAAAAACTGTCGCTCTCCCTTTCTGAACTCAGTGCTGCCAAGGAAAAGGAGCAGAAGGTAAGCTTTTTTTCTCCCATCTCCTTTTTTTTTTAATGACATCTTTGAAACATCTTTTCTCCTTTACTAGAACTGCAACTTCAAGTGTGTTGTTTTGCACTGTGCGGTGTTGAACACTGTCTTGTGATTGGCTTCCCGTTAAGTCTTTCATGGATTACAAGAAACAAAAAAAATCCTCAAGTTTTGGGTCAATAAAATGGGTGAAGTTATTGACCATGTTGTAATGGTGTAGGAATCACAGGAACCCATGGCTTTGCTAAGGAAAAAGTTAAGATACTCTTCTGTTTTCTGTCCTGTTTCTTAAACAGCAAAATAATTGCAGTCTCTATAGATACAGCCTTTCAAATTTTCCCTGCAGCTTTTGATGATTGAAAAGGACATTACAGATGATGTATTTGGTCAATAAGTGCTTTCTCAAGTCTGTAAGGCAGCCCATCTGATTTGAGCTACCTGTAATTATATATGCAGTTGAAAAACAGAAAATGTTGACTAGAGATACAGCCTGTTAAATTAAGTGGTAAAATGCTTCTCAGATGTGTGCGCCCAAAGACTTGAAAAGGTTGCTTGAGAGTTTACTGCGATAGCTAAATAGTCTTGATTTGCGTCTCTGCTGATAGCGGATTATACCCTGGAAGTGAAGACTGCTTATGCAAGTGCTCTACCTAATGTTCATACCTGCTGTTCTCTTCCAGCAGCTTCTATCTGCAGATGTCCAGAGTCTACCCTAGCTAAGACTATGTCTTTTTTTATAAGTTGGGCCCTTGATCCTTTGTGTTGCTGGAAGAGTCTTAAAGGCTTATAATAGGGCTAGAAGTAAAGTTACCAGCACTGAGTATCCAGAAGGTGGCCTGATTCTGGCTTCTCAGATCCTTCATCTCAGGAGCCTGTGAAGGAAGGGGTGCATTTTTAATGCTGTTCAGGAAGCAGGTAGCAATACTTCTGACTTCATCATCTTCAAGAATCGTTTTACATCCTGCTGATGTTTTGGGTGGGGGTTTTTTTTGTGTGTGTGTGGTTTGTTGGGTTTTTTTTGAACATGTTGTTGGACATTGAGGTGTTTGTCAGGTTTTTAGCCTTTATAAACATTTCATTTCTGTTCTTTTATACTTTATCTGACATCCATTTTGTGATGGCATTGAGTTCAACGCAAGAACCTTTTGCTCTGAGAATGTATGATGCCTATGTTCTTGCCTGTGTTAAGCAACTCGGTGGGGATTTCTGTGGAAAGCAGTCTGGAGGAGCCCATGTAGCCCAACATGCAGTCTGTGGCAGCTGTGTTTGGGATGATGCCAATACTTCTCTCAGGTTTTGTGGTGCTTAAGCTTTCACCTTATGCCTTTCAACTTTAAATATACATATCTTGTACTAGGTTAGCACCTAGTATAAAGGTGTCTGGTGTAATCACATCTACAGTGCTAAAGTGTAGAAGCAGGTAATATGAAACCTTCAGGCCATTAACTGTCAAATCGGCATCTGATGGTACAGCAGTCCACCTTCATCTCCTCTTGTTCTTCTGCCTTCCTAATCACTATCAATATGTAGACAGAGACTTCTCTGAACTTGTTTTCTGATTCCTTGTTCAAAGTTCTATCAAGCCTATCTTTGATCATGTTATTTCTTTTGTCTATACTTAGAGGTACTTCTGTCCACAAATGCAAATTCAGATATTATATTGAGGTTTGCCTTAACATTTCATTTATGGTTACCTAGTCTACAGCTCCAGCCTAGAAGGTCTGAAATTACCCTAGCCCTCCTGCACTGTGCAGAGCTTTGTAGGCATAGCTAAAAGCCTGTCAAAGCATGTTTCAATTGTTTTTCTTATAGCTTGAGAAATATTTCTAATGTTTCTAGCCTTCCTCTTCAATTTGCTCTTTCTATGCTGTCCTGGTAGGCATAGAACTGTTTATATCTTGAATGCATTTGGCTTTATAAATTGCTATTTATTTTCCAAATAAGCACTTCATGCTACGTTTCTCCTCACAGCTCAGAAACTGTGGAGGGATTTGCTGGATTGTCTCATTATGTTGGTTTCTTCCCTAACATGCTCCTTCATACGATAGCTATCAAAATTGAAGAAAAGTCACTGGGCTGCTTCTTGTTGGACTGTTTTGTTACCTTCACACATGTTTTTTATTACTGTCTTTTTGTCTCTTGCCTTGATACCTGAACTGCGACCTCCTAGGGTGGTAGTTGGTTTCTTTTTATTCTGTTTCAAGTGTTGTCCTAACACAGAAGTTCAGGCAGGCATAGGGCTTTCATTCTGGTGTCTGCCTCGATGGGGAATGCCACAGGGGAACACAGCAGGGAGGGATTTTGGGGAGGTAAAAACTGGGAGGGAGACAGCCCCAGAAAACTTTCCTGCTGCTCTGAGTGCTGCCCATGCCAGCTTTCTCTGCCCTGCTGGAGCTTTTATGCTCTGCCTCTTCTTGTTTTAAGCGGGACTTTGAAAAAAGCCACCCTGTTTAAATACTAGGATAAAGGAAGTCTTCCTGAGTTTTGTCTGAATTCTGATCATTGGGAATTTTTTCCCTATTGTTTGTTTTTGACTGGGCTAAGAAAATCCTGGATATGTCTGGCTTTAAATCAATAGATACTAGCTTGCTACCTAGTTTTCACTTCTGTGAACTGTCTAGGAGAGGTAATCAGTGTTTCCTATTTCAGGTGACTGCTGATGTTACCAGGGCATCTGTGCCTCAGTGTAAGATGTCTTTCTGATTTTTTTCCTGTGTGATCCAGAAACATGGGACTGCATAGTTACACTCTGTACCGAGGCACTTCTTTGTTCTGCCTGTTATGAGCTGTTCTTTCTTGTTTCTGTTCATTTTCCCATCTTTTTCCTACTTGTTTGTTTTGATTCATTTCTAATGCTACACCTATATCTTAACATCACTTGCTTTTTGCTTGTCTGGCTCCCTCATTCTTACTGTACAATGATGCTGACCATGAGCTGTCACTTTCCCCTGGGCTGAGACAGGTATTTGAAAGCATCTCCTTTCAGTCTTTAAGTGCTGGGCTTTGTGTTAGAATGAGACAATTAACAGGTCAAGAGAACTGCAGCGTTACCAAACATCTATGGCATTGTTGCAAAAAGATGTGGAGTTGTATGGGAGGCAAACGGCTGCAGTGGCTGTGTGCATGTGGCCGAAATGCAGCCCTGGCTTGCAGCTGTATTGAACTAATGCAGCTATTTTGGTCTTAACCTTTATTTTTGTCTGTTTTAGCATCACCTAACGGTAGCAGTAATTCTGAAATCACGTTTTCCTCTTGCCTAATATTGCTTCTTTATAACAAAAGTCAGCCCTCAAAATTTAAAGAAGCATTCTGGTAGTAGTGAAATAAAATTGCTGGGAAGATGGTGGCGAGATGATTTAAGACAGAACTGTCGTGGAGTCAATAATCAGTAACTGGAACATGGAGCTTCCTTTTTTGTGAGATAAAGTTAATTCCATTTGAAAAGATACTTAAGGTGACATGAATTGAATTATTCAAACTGTCGTTCTCAGTATTAACTCTAGGTTAATATTGCATGATGCCTCTGGTTTCATTATAGGAGTTTTAAGTACATAACTTTTTATAATAAATTCAATACCTAGAAGCCGTACTGAAACTGGTTTACCTTTTACCAACCCATAAAAAGATACATTAACTGTAAAGTGAATATTAAAGTGGTCACTAAAGTTGACTCAGACAGATTCAGAGATATCTCTTGTGAAAAGGAAGCGAAGAGCTCTACTGAACAATAGGCTTTTGCCCTGATGTTAATAGAAAATACCATCTATATTAAAAGGTAGTTAAACCTCTTGTATCAAAAATGATTTTTGGATGTTCTTTCTGCAGCTCCCAAATGTTCAGTCTGCCATTTTCATAAGCTTTACAAAGAGATGTAAAGAAAGTTGTCCTTGTTCTAGGTAATCACATCTGACCTAGTTATATAGTTGCTGCTTCACTACCATCTCAAACAGTGGCAAGAATCCAGTTTACTTTGGCAAGTCTATGGCTGATGAATCTGTAGATGTTCTGCAGTGTAGGGCAGGACTTGAGTCACAATGGCTGGACAGGTGTCCGAGTTCCTGCAGGACAGGGATTCTTGAGCTACTTCACCTAAAAGATAGATAATACCTGTAGTTTCAGCATTGCCTATTAATGTTAATCTTTGTATTTACACGTACAGCTGGCAGCTTCTGTTTCTTATTTGTGGAAGATTATCAACACATCTGCTAATTCCTTTGATTTACATAGATTCTTGTTGTGTATGTGTTTTAAGCTTCGGTTCTCTTCCCCCCCCGGCCCTCATCAGGAGTGAGGAACTGTTGTGTACTAAAGCACTGTGCAAGCATACTGAAAGACATGGTCTGCTTTGAGAAGATTGTAAAATCTTAAGAAGATTAAGTTTTGTGGGGAGGATAATATTTTAACTTTTTTTTTTAATGTTACTACTTCTCTTGAATCACTTGTTCATCTTAAAAATTGTTGACACAGTTGTGGTGTCATTTCACAGTAAAGTCCAAAGGAAGCCTTTTCTTGCAAGGACTATAAAGCCTTGTTTTCTTTTAATGTCAGTGACTAAAATTCTTGTCCATATCATTGTCATTTATTGCCTTAATAAGGGTGATTACATACTAAAGCTTCAAACATTGGTTATTTATTTATTATTTTTTTCTGTTGAGAAGGATATTGAAACAAGTCAATCTGCAGAAGCCCTTACTTTCTGATTGTCCCCAAACTTTCCCGTTCCTTTTTTTTTTTTACCACAGGTCACCTTTAAACACATTCTTAGCTTACCTAAAGAAAAAAAAAAGCCTTATATGCAAAGGGTTTTGAATGCTATGCATGATAGAATTGACTTTGTCTGTTTACCCAGCTGTACGGGAACAATGGATGAGCCCATATGAAAGATACTCGAGAACTGGGATAATAAATAAAGAACTAATTTGACTGTAGACCCAAGGGTATTGGAATAATTTTACGAGGCCAGACAGAGACAGAGTTTTAGCATGAGT